ATGTTCATGGCCTGACTTGATTTTAAGGCAGCAATTTCACCACCCACAATCAGCTGTTTGTAGAGCAGAAGCACCAATTGTGCTGGTTCTGGAACAGCAACCAGCTATTGTGCCTGAAAAATCCGTCTGCAGCAACGGTATTAGCCGTGGGTGCATAATTCCCAACGTGGCAACATTCCTTCTGCCCTCTGCCTTTTGTTTGGGCTTTAACCTTGTGACCAGTGCAAATCTATCTGCACCAATGCAACACACAGGAGCAGCTGGAAGCTGTTGTGCAGCAGGAAAACTGTGATGTATTTGCCATGACAGAAGCATGGTGGGATGGCTCACATGAGCTGAGAGCTGCAGTGGGTGGCTATGAACTGTTCAGAATGGGTATGCAAGGAACAGAGAAGTGGGGAAGCCCTGAATATTAGGGGCAGTTTTGATTGTCTGGAGCTTAGTGGTGGCACAGTGGGATTGAGTCTTTACGGTAAAGAACCTGGCAAGTACCAAGATCTGTTACAGACCTCCCAGCCAGGATGAAGAGGCAGATGTAAAATTCTATAAGCAACTGGGAAAAATCCTGCAATTGCTAGTCATGGTTCTCCTGGGGTACTTCTACTTAAAATGGAGGGATTGGTCCCTATTCCCAAGTAACAAGTAATAGGACAAGAGGAAATGTCCTGAAGTTGCAGCAAGGGGGATTTAATTGGCTGATAGGAAGAAAATCTTCACCAAGAGGGCTATCAAGCACTGGTGGAGTCCTGCTGCAGCCCACTGCAGAAGGTGAGGGTAACCCAGGTTCTTGTTATTAGATAACTTGGGGCAAGTTAGGTGGCTTGGTGTTGGTAAACACACATACATCATGGATTTCTTGTAGAATAATTTGGTTGCAAAGGAAAGCAGGTATGTAGCCATTTTGGTTTTTATTATCTGCAGTAATAGAACACTAAACACACAATAAAAGCATTGCAATATGGAAGTACAACAACATCATCCAAAGACATGCACAAGGGAAAAGAAAGAGAGAAAGAAGAAGAGCATGAAGCATAAAATAGAGAAAGAAAAGGGACCAGAGTGAAGATCTCACCACTCACAGGCCCTGCAACAAGATTCAGCTGTTGGTAGTCTTGGTCACAGACTGGATCCATCAGGTCACGGGGGAAGTCCCAAAGAAGTGGTAGGGAAAAACCTCTGGAACACACCTTCTGTTGGATTTATATCCACTCAGGTTCAGGTGGGAATGCCCAGGTACCTCCCCTGAGGGGAGATTGATGCAATGTTGATTGTGGGACACTTGGGAGTCCTTGACTAAGTCCTTGGGAGTTCTAAGACAGCACAGCTGCCCATCACATCAGCAGCTGAGTCAATAAACCCTCAGGCCACAGCCAGAGTCCCTGCTTCCCGGGGGAGGAAGGGGCAGCCCCACAACCCAGTGGTTGGTGCAAGGGGGGGACAATTTAACATGATGAGAGGCACAAACCTTGTCTCCACTGGATCTGTCTCCTGTCTCACTCATAGCCCCTCGGGCTTTCACCCTCTTTTACCAGATCAGAGGTTTAGCCATCAACACCCAAAAGTTCACCTCTATCTGAGCAAAGCCCCCTTGCACACTCCACAAATGGAGGGGTTTGAGCCATTATCTCTTAACAGTTCATTTTTTCACAGCTCCCCATTCCTGGAGGTATTTAAATGAGTGTAGATGTGGGACTTAAGAGACATGGTTTTGTGGTAGGCTTGGCAGTGCTGGGTTAATGGTTGAAGTCAATGATCTAAAAGGTCTTTTCCAACCTAAACAATTCTATAATTCAATGATTTTCTTCATTTTTTTTGTTAGGAGTCCATCCTCAAATCCTCTCCTGTCCTGTACTGGGCAGCTTTCCCTAGCTGCTTCTCCTGTATGCTTTTTGTTCAGTACGTGTATTTCTACATACACAGCAACATTCTGGATATACATTAGCAGTTGGAGAACTGCATGGGATCCAAGTATTTCTTTGGCATGTAAATTGTAGTGTAATGTTCAAAATCATAAATACACTTGCAGAAAAGTGAACAATTTTGGATATATAAAATTAGCAATTTCTTTTCAAGCTACCTTCTTGTATTGCTAGGTTTGACTGTAAAACAGTCCCTGAATGAAAACATGCTGCATTAGATCCTCCTATGCCATTTTAGATTATCACCTCATCAAGAGAGAAGTCCTCTTAAAATTAAAAATAGCCTCTAGGTTCAAGACTAGGCAGCAAAATTATTCCAAATGACATTAAATTACATACGTACATACATACATACATTCTTCAGCTGATTCACTGAAAGAGGCAAAGCACACTTTGCTTTCTTGGCTGTATACCTATACTTGTTTTCCCAAAACTCTTCATCTCCAGGAGCTCCACATTCTCCACTGCTTCATATTCAGTTTATGGGAAGAAAATGCAAAACCATAATAAAAAAAACAAAACTCAACTTTTAATTTTTTTTTCTGGCCTTACACAGCCCTCTTAAAGAAACAACAAAAAAAAGAGACAAGGCTGAAGTGTCCCTGATTGTCAGAAAGCACTGACTGGCTCTACAGCACTGGACTGCCTTAGCCCAGGTTTTCCCAAATAAGACCCCTTTTCCAGCTACTTGTAACTTGGAAATGAAGTGCATTTCCTGAAGATTCGTCCAGATCAACTGTGATAGAGCCAGGGGTGATGGCTTTAATCTAAAGAGGGGATGTTTAGATTAGGAATAATTTTTTTTAAAATTTATTTAAAGTGAGGGAGGTGAACATGCCATCCATGGAAGCTGAGGGCGCCCCATCCCTGGAAATGTTCAAAGCCAGGCCGGAGGGGTCTCAGAGCAGCCTGGTCTAGTGAAAGGTGAACCTGCCCATGACAGCAGGGTTGGACTGGCTGGTCTGCAAAGGTCCTTCCCAAGCCAATCTGTGAGTCTGACTGCACATTCTCACACCATAGGTCTGACACTGCCTGGAAGCTTCAGATCTGCCATTAACAGCCTGCACAGCTGATTCACACTTTCACAGTCAGCCCAAAATACTTCCCCAGTGCTGAATTTATTGCACATTTACAGTGAATCCAACACTTCCCAGAAGCTTTAGGCTCATTGCACAGGCTGAGCACAGTAGAAGCATAGCAGTTTCTGTCTGGAACACCCCAGCACACGGGTTGGGGTGGCACAGCAGCCTTCGCTCCGCGGTTTAACATGGCACGGCCATAGCACTGATAGTGCTGGGCCTGAGAGACACAAGGACACTAATGAAAAAAAAACCTGCTCCACAGTGTAATATGAAGCAAAACCAGGGAGAGCTCCTCCCTCCACTCCTCTAGTGCTGTACAGGAAGGTGCATCGACTGAAATCACCACTTGCAGCTGCAGTTTGACTTCAAGCAGCAAAGAATCACAGAATCTGCTGAGTTGGAAGGGACCCATCAGGATCCTCGAGTCCAACTCCTGGCTCTGCACAGCATCATCCCAAAAGTCACACCATGTGCCTGAGAGTGTTGTCCAAATGTTTCTTGAACTCTATCAGGCTTGGTGCTGTGACCACTTCCCTGGGGAGCTGTTCCAGTGCCCAACCATCCTCCAGTGGAAGAATCTTTTCCTAATCTCCAGCCCAAACCTCCCCTGACACACCTCCATATCAGTAATCCATGAGTTAAGGTCCACTGACCTACATCATGCTTCTGTTGGTATTCTGGCTGCCTTTCCAGGGGAAAGATCCTTGCTGGCTGGCATAAAACCATCAACATTATGTACAATTGTTTAATAACAGGTGTTTCTTCCACTTGTTTATCAAGAATTAGATACTACCATTATAAAAAAAAAAAATTATTTAAGGAGTTCTTTATTAATCTAACTGTCCTGTTAATACAACATACTATTGTAACTAGTAGCAATGGGACATCAGCAAACAATTGAAGTTTTGCTGACATTTGTTATTATCCACACAAGTTCACCATACAAGATTAGCCTTCAATTACTAAAACTACCTCTCAGCTTTCCACTTCTGCATTAGACATAATCTTTTTTTAAGGTGTACTCTTAGGAGTGTCGTGATAAATGGAGCATGTTAGTGAAGCAGTTTACAATTTCAGTTTAAAAGAATTACGAATAAAGCAAGAACTTTCTTCACACAACAGAGGCTGAAATTCCTAACATCTGGAAAATGAAAAGACTCAATCATTAGGCTACAAAGTTTCAGCAATTACTAAGTCTATCTAGATATTCAATGCTGTGCTGCATTTCTAAAGCTGAAGCGCAGTAGTTATGAAACATGCTCTTTCCCCTCTTTCTACAAAACCCAGTTTATTTCAGGTAGCATATGGACTGATGATATCTCAATTATTTTCAAAAAGGTATGTTTCAATATATCACTTGCAATAGTAAATAGATTTTGAAGCTGTCTGGCAATTACTTTTCTTAAAGCCTTGGTTTTGTGAAAATTGATCAAAACTAGTGTAAGAGCTGAACTATGACCAAAGATTACACTGCTTGTCCTGTAAGAAAATAATTTGCAATCTACATCATCTAAAGAAATGCCTTTCAGACTACCATGGTGTTTCATTTTTTTTCCTCAGAATTTCTGTTATTGGAGAAAAATAGAATACAGAGGCAAAAATGTTTTCATTGACTCCCACAAGTCTTTTATTAGACTCAAGAGGCAAAGCAAACACATAACACCTGGAAGTCTGGTGGTAAGAGGAAACAGGAATTATTTTTATCTATTTCCCCTCTACACCTCCACTACATTTCTTCAGCCCCTCATTAAGTCATATGTCATCTTGGGAAGATACTCTTTTTTTCCTCCAAACTCCCTCTGACAATGCATTAATTCTCCAGCTCATTTCTGCAGCACAGTGTTTTTCTTTCACGTTTAACCTTTTTGGAGAAAGATTTCACCTTTTTGCCCAAAGTAATATGTTCACACACACACCCCCCTTTGGCTTTTAATTCATCATTAAAATGGTATTCTGTGCTTCAAACAGGTTAATCTCAAGTGTGCACCACAGACATTACCTCATCTGTGCAGCATATGCAGCTCAGTACATGCAGTCTCCTTTATGTGACAATCTCTTCAAGATTGCAAATTATCATTTCCCTATCAGACACATGAAAGCATTTTTCACAATATGAAGAGAATCATGGCACATCAAGGCACCACCAAGACTTGCATTACCTTTAGAAGACAACGAATGTGGAGTAAAAACAACCTACGTGTTCCTGTTCATATAGAGTGAACAATGGTGTCATTTGGTTTTATAAAGAAATTAAGATTTTTTTAATGTATGCAGGTTTTTTTTAGCATTGTAAAATGTTAAAGGCTGCAAACTTTACAGTGTCCTAGCTATAGAGACTTCATTATACCAGAGGGAATACCAACAATTTTAAAAAAAATTAGACAGCCTATGCACACAGCAGTTATGCAGTTGTACAAACTTAGCTGCTTTGTCCAATACTAGGAAAGTCAAACCTGCATTGAAGAAACATTTTAGTGCATTTTGGCACAGATTATTTATAACCCAGGATAACCAGAAAATTATTTCCATAAGCAGCTTGCTTTTCTTCTTTCTTTTCATCATTTTTCCTCTAAATGCTGAAACTCACCATAACCCATATGTACACTGCTTTACAATTTCAGCTAGTGATATTTTCGTTACTGTATGTAATTTGTGGCTAGCTAAATTGCATGTATTTAGCTTTGATAGTTTTAAGCATTTACCATTCAATCCTATTCATGTTGATAACATTCTACTGGATTTCCAAAAAGAACAGAACAAGTAGTCCCTCAGAAACAAGTATTGTGTAGCCTGCCTAGAGCTGAATCTATTATACTCTCCTACATGTCGTATTATTTAAAGGAAGCTACATAAAGGAAGCTACATAAAATTTTCTTTCCTATCTTTGAGAAATAAATACCCTGACACGCTTGCAACAGTCATACTGTAGAAAACAGACACACACTAAATAAAAAATATCTCCAAACCCATATATATATATATATATAACACTACAAAATCTTCTGATCTAACCAAAGAGTTTGCATTTAGAGTCCACATCTCCACTAACACCACAGTTGCATCTGGGCCATTATGTTTAATAGCTCTCAGTGGACCCCCCCTCCCTGAACCCTTTAATGCCTTTGGCCTCCACAAGGGTTGCATGCATTCTCATGCTTTCCTCTCACTGCAGCCCTAGGAGCCTGAATTAGCTGCACTGGCAGAAACATCCAGGAGACTTGAATAATGTGTTTTGAGGATTAAAGTGATCAATACTCCAGAGTGGAGTAAAACATTCCTAAAAAAAACAAAACGAAAAAAAAAAACCAAACCAAAAAAACAAAGGAAGAATTACCTCAAAAAAAAAAGGGGGAGGGAGGGGAATATCTGTCTTTAGAATTTACTTTTTGATAAGTTTAGATATAAACTGGGAAAAAGTCTGCAGAAAAAAATGCTCTGCATCTCCTCATCTCACTGATTCTACTTTTTCATTCACACTGTTCCCAAAAAACTCCAAAGAAAACAAAGAACCAACCCGAAGGTTGGTTTCCATCAAATGTCTTCTATGATGCTTTTAAGTTTGACTCGATTTAGATAGCATATAATATACAGCACCAAAGCTCAAGGAAAGAAAGAAATTTCTACATTAAACACAGCTAATGGCTGTATTACTTATTAGGAGACACAAACTGATAGTAAAAGATAAATCGCACAGTATTTCCAGGGCTATGCATTAACAAAGTCAGTGGAAGGTTACAAAATATAAAAACGTTTGTTTAAATAATAAATTTAGCTGAGAAAAGAGACTGGCTATGTGTGAGCCTTAGAATTCATTAGATCTCACATTTCACTGAGGACAAAGAGAGGTTGAGGGAGAGCAAGTACCAGGCTGTGGGGATGTTAAGGAAACACCTCTCCCAACAAATACCAGGGAATTAAAATAACATTGCACCACTACATTTCCAACATAAAACTGCTCCTGAACTTTGTATTCCTCAGCCTGAGAGAAGAGGAATAACACAAGAATTTTCTGTCAAGCCTGTTCAGATGCAAAGATACCATCTGCACAAACTCAGCAAACAGATACAAGCACAACAGAAACATGCAAGTAATTGTAACCAAGACACAAATTCTGCACAGTGTAAAATATTTATCATTGCCACAGGTGGTGTAACAGTTTGCTGTGCAGATGCTCACAAGCCTGTCTATTGAACCCATGAAAGGAGCAGGTTTGCCAGCTTTACCTGGACTCAGAGCAGTGACTGAAACACAAAACCCTCAGGTAGAGTCCCCAGAATCTCTTCCCTTTGGGTGATTGTCCTTTGCCAACGTTGTCATAAAGCAGACAACTGTTTGTGGACACCAGCGTTACTATTAGGTTGATAGACCTGAAAGGGATCTAAAACTTGTGGTTGTGAATATTGCAGCTGGAGTTGGCATCCAAGTAATTCCCCTGTCTGTCCTTTCTCCAGAGCCTCAAACTCTCACGGTCCCAAACCCAGAGCAAAGTCAGGTATGCTGGGGAATACTTTGGAGCACCTACTTAAAAGCAGAAAGGCCAGATCTGATTGCAAAGACCCCAGAGTACTAAATCAACCAACAACCAGAGCTCCAGCCCAGACTCAAGTCTCCAGATGCTCTTCCTCTTTTCATTTCCTCTCTGAATTGCTCTCTAACATCTGTGTTTCCTCTTAAATACCATGCTACAATCCAAACCATTTGTAAAATATGTCAGTTTATGCCAGAGTAGAGTGCTACTAGATAAATACAGGGGTTATGTGGAAGTATATACAGAAAATACAGCAGAGCAGATGTCCAGAATGAAGCATCTCCTGTTCATGGTCCCTCCAGGCAGAGTCTCCCAGCTCTGTCACACACATACACATCTCTAGTCACCGTCTGCCTCGATTGTGCAGTTCCTTATTTCCCACCTTCAGCGGTAAGGCAGCCCAGAGAGCAGCACACGTGCTGAGGAAACGACATTTCTAAAAGCCATTCAGGCCATTTTCTTCAAATCAAGTCTCCTCACCTTCAAATTCATTCTCAGAGCAAATGAGTTTTCAATTGCATGTTTACATAGGCAGAAGGCAGAACTGACTCGAAAGACAACGACCAGGGGCTGTCTCAACCACACCATGGTTTTAAAACCCAGGCAGAGACACGAAAAGTCATGGAGGAACGGCACAAAAGCCTGCTGTTCCTGCCTATAGCAATATCTGCTCCTACTCCCACCTCATTAATTGCTAGTTTTCCTGATTATAGAAACAGCTTTTTCTGCTGCTGAAATGTATGGCGCCGTGCCATTTGCATATGCAAACTGACAAACGAACAATGAACCAGTTGCACAGTTCCTTAGAGAGCAACAATGTAGAGGATTTACGACATGTATAAGGCAACAGGCAGGGAGGGAGTATGGGGAGACGGACACACAAAACCGCTCGTGATGCTCTTTATATTGCTTTTCTGAGAAATAATCTTTCAGGCAGTCTATTGAAATAAAATATTTAGCACTTTAGTGGATTTTTGACACTGGATTTGGGAAAATAATAGAACTAAAGATCTGTGCAACTTTGATTTGCCTCCAGATGCGTATCTGTTTATCATATTTTAATATATGAACTTTGATGACATGATTGCACACTGTTCTGCCACAAGTTCTTTATGTTATTCCACACAGAGAAGACAGTGTTAATTTAACAAACAAAAGCCCAGCATTCTGTTTTCCTCCTGTTATTCAAAGTATAATCCAAGACTATATTTGTACATACTATTGAAACTCTACTATACCAAAGGAATTACTCATTTCCTTATGGACATTAATCATTGCATCAAATGTATTATTTCTCTAATTTTGTATTATTTTTCTCCTATATTAGATGTGAGACACCATTATTACTCCCATTTTATGGACCAGGAATTGGAGACAGATTAGGAGGGGAAAAGCAATTAATTTTGTGATGTCTGTAACCTATTTTCAAAGTATTGGACATTATATAGGACTTCATAGATTCAAAGCACAGCTCTCATCATGCCAACTCCACCTCTGAGTGTCCTGCATTCCCACTGGTCTTATTCCACAAACCTGAAAACAATGATTGCCTGGAAAAGATTTGATTTAAATAATAATCTGACCAGAAAAATGTAGAGCCCTGCAGCAGTGGCAAGGACAGGCTGCAGTTCTCCAAACCATCATTTGGTTTCCTTAGTTGTTAAACAATGGTTATACCATCTCTATGGCAAATGAACAAATTTTACCGAGGGCAAACCCGCCAAGAAACAACAACTGTATCTGATGGGGGGATGATGAACCACAGGGCTCAGCACTTGGGCTGACAGCCTTAGGGTCACCACAAACACATCTGCCACTTGAGGTAAGAAAGCAGCTGGCAGCAGGAGCAGGTTGTTACATCTGCATGGAGCAGCACTGGAAGGGAACACAAGGCACAACTCACCAGAAAACCTCTCAGCTACTCCGTGATTGCAAAAGAAAGGCAAGATTTAGAAATCATAGATCCCATCCCTGCTTTAATAATCCACACAGACTTCTGGTCTTTCTCCTTGGGATGGACCCCTTTCTGCCCCATCTTCCCCTCTGCATTTCAGGCCCACCCACAGCCATTGTACCAACACCAAGCTTCTCAGCTCAAACTCTGCCTGGACAGCTTGGGTTCCCTTAAAAGTACAGAAAATGCCAAATTGCATTTCCTTATTTTAAAACACGGAAAAATGGCTCAGAAGTTATGGACCATTTTTCCTGATACCAGTGGACAGCTGAGTAGAAAGCAGAAGGAGGCCATGCCAGCACAGCTGGATCTCTTCCAGGTGTCTGACTTGGAACCACAAAACAGGTGATACATTATATGAAGCTAATAAGGCACATACAGATTAAAAACTACCTTAATGAAGAATATAAAAATGTAAGGTGTCATTTAATGAGAAAATATGTGAAAGGGCCCCTCCCAGGAGAAGCTCCTGAGCGTAGTTCTCAGCCTTTGTATCTATTCTTCAATGGTCTACTCAATCTCATAAGAGCTTGGTCAGTAGAGCTGGTTCATGGCACTATAATCAAGATCTGCAGAAAGAAGTGAACATGTTATTCTTATGTGCTCTGATAAATGGACACAGCCCCACAGGATATTTCAGGAAAGTCAAATGGAAATCAGAAATGCAAGGGATGCTGGAAGGACAGAAGACTGCTTTGAAAATCAGTTTCTCAGAGGGAAGCTGAAAAGGCCATCCAGAACACAAGCCTGTGGCATAAGGTGTAAATGGAAATATTGAGTGAAAGGAATTGATTTTGATACAGTACAATTCACTCCCAAGAACACTACTATGTGCAATCCTGATGCCCACTTTTCTAAATCTCTCAGCTTCCTTATAGACAGCTGTACAAAAGTGATAAAAATTTGGAAAACAAGTCATAGAAGTGTGAGCCAAGGAACAACTGCATGCCTAAGTTGGGCTGGATAGCTGTTGTCCTTCCTGACCCTGGAACTAGTTTTCCACCCAACTCTTTCATGGACACTGGCCAGACCTGTAAGTTTTGTAGCCTCCCATGAAGCCAGCTATTATTTTCTTGAAGTATCGCATTTAAGCTTTCTGCTATTAAATATAGGAGTCACAAAGGAAGGATTTCCCCATGGACACAGATGTATTAATTTGGCTCCTGATCTTAGGAAAAATACGGATGTCTTTTTTAACTTTGTTTCCTAAGGAAACCGAGACGCAAAGGCTCCATGTGTCTCTGTATGTGTCTGATCCAGTTCTCATCCAGATTCTCATTTAACCAAATTTAACAGGGAGGTACAGATTGCTTTGAGCTACCAAGTTCCTATACATCTTCAGAAGAACAGAAGTTCGGGTAGAAAAGGGGGACTAAGCACCCTGCACAAGGAAAAGTGGAAGTACAGTCCCCCCAAGGTAACAGTCACTAACAGAGAACGTGAACCATGTGAATATTTACTCACAGCAAAGTTCCATTAGGAGCTCAGGACCAATCACAAAATGCAAATCTGTAAGAAGTGCTGGAAGGGGTGAAGGCAGATGAGCAGAATTATTTGTTCTGGTTCCCCTCAGAAATAGCAGAGCTTAGCCCCAGATGCTAAAAGGCACTTACAGACCACAAGTCAAGGGAGGGGAAGAAAGCTGCCCCTCAGAGATGTGCCTGGCACAACTGCTCCAGGATATCCAGGGCAGAGCAGGCCAGGTCAGGCCACGTCAGAGGGGAGAAACCGTGGGGAAGGTTCATCTTCTCTGCAGCTGAGCCACGCTTCACCTGCAGGAATCCCCCGCCCCTATCTTCTCTGATCAGCTTCCTTTCATCACAGGAACCTGCTGAGCTGAAAAATGGATTATAAGTAACTCCATGTATGAAAAGTACTCAGCAGATTCTTCTCTGTTGGACTACTTTCCTAATTCCATCTGTGAAAGTGGTTGGCAGGTTCTTCTCTGCTTGATTCCTTTACTCGCTAAAAATGCAGTCACCTAAATATAGGTGAAACCTCTACCAATTTAAATGAATCCTTCTGCTGTCAAATATATGCAGAAGTACTAGATTTTATGTTTTTTTTAACTGTGAGAATATATGGTCCAACTCACTCTAGTGTTATGATCAGTGTATTTTGGATAATGTTTAATAAACTTCCTTAATTAACTAGTTTATCTATAGTAAAGTATCTGAATAAATCCTAATGCTCTATTTGACTGGAAATCCGCAAATAGCACTGGTATCAGATAAAAACAAAACAAGGAAACAACTAAAATGAATAATTACTAATTAGTCTATAATTACTATTAAATAATATTAACACTTGCATTGTAATTCTATTAACTACCATAACAAATTCTAATAAACTGTTAACAGTGCTTCCTGGAAGCTCAGGAAACACCATTTCCCCAATAATTTTCCCTTTTCCTCTGTTTTCACAACGATTAAGTCTACATACGTGTAAGCAATCCTTATACTTTTTTTTCATTATTATTATTGTTAGTAGTTTTCTCTTGTTTAAGTGTCATTTTTCTGGACATAATTGGAAAAAAACAAAAGGCTGCATTTTTTGTTCTGATCCTTCGAGACAAATATTAAAGGGGGAAAGTTTACAAAATCTAATACTGACTGAAGTGTATAGAAAGAGCAAGTGCTCAAGCAATATCAAACTCCTTATGTACTCAGCTATATCTCACAGAGATGACAGAGAAAAAAATATTTCCAAACCTACTTTATCAGTTCTAGGACCACAAAACAGTCACTTCACATATATGCATTTAAT